TTTAAAATCTACAGGTTAAGATCTGAAATTTAGGGTAAGAACTGTACTTTGTATGCTAAAAAGATCAGCAATCTTAAGCTATATGCAAGCTGGACTGCACATTGCACTTGCATGTCTGGTCCAAATGTGTTCAATGGAACTTATTTCCCAACTATGTGAGTATAGGACTGAAGAAATCCTATGCATGTCCATTCAGAAAACAGCTAAACTAAATAGGATAGCTCTTATTGCACCTGGTACCGGATATAGAGAATTCCAATCTAATACATATATAGAATTTCAGTCTAAGAAGTAACCTTCTGTCCTTCAGATGTTTAGAAACACAGCATGGCTGATCACAGGCCAACAAAAAGCTGTTTTTCTTGGTGTCTTGGTTTTTAGGCCTGTTCCTGGGGTTATTTGAGGCACTGATTCAGACAATAAGATTGGATAGACTACACCAGCTCTGGTTTCTTAGATATGGTTATCATAATTCTTTATGGGTGAGCAGATGGAAACTGGTATATGGCATATGTTCTGTATTTCAAAAACCAGAGATGATGGGGAAACATTGGTGCCACTTTTTGTAATCAGCAGGCTAAATATATCCAGAAACTGGTGCAACATTTGAGGCACCAAAATGTGTGTTGCTTAGTGTTATCTGTAGCCCCAAACATATTGAACGTATATGAGATCTGGGTAGCAGCAGATAGAATTACACTGTAATTCTTTATGTGGTCACCTATTGGCTCTATGACAGGTATTGTCTCAGTATGTATTACAAAGCAGATATTCTGAGAATATCTTTGGATTCCTACTATATATTTTGCCTTCAACAACTATATACTGTATTAATTTTACACATGGCTTCCTACATACTACAGCATTTTATTAAAAACCACATGCCATGAACCTTTTTGAAGTGGACTGTGGGATGACATTCTGTAACGCATGCTGAATGGAATTCATGTTTGTACTAAATTCTGTGATGAAATACTACTACTACTACTACTACTAATAATAATAATAATAACAACAACAACAACAACAACAACTTTATTCTTACATCCCGCCCCCATTTCCCTAAAGGGATTCATGCAGCTTACATGGGGACCAAGCCCAGTCAAACAGAGTTAAAATAGAACACAATAAAATACATATACAAAACATCAGAAAAATATAAAACATTAACAACCAGCAACCAGTTGCCCCGCATAGTGAACATATTCAGAACTGAAAGGGCGGGGCAAGGGCTTGTGCAATACAACTGCAAAGGCGGGGCTGATAGTAAAGTGCAGGAGCCAGATTTTAAGTTAGGGTTAGAAGGGCCAAGTCAATTACTGCAATACAACTGCAAGGGCAGGGCTGATAGTGAAATTCATGAACCAGATATTAACTTAGGGCTAAAAGGGACAAATCAATTAGTGAACTGGTTAATCAAGGCACATTGGAACATTCAAGTTTTTAGGTCTTTATGGAATGTGGACAGGGTGGGAACTAATCTAATCTCCCTGGGGAGAGAGTTCTAGAGCTGGGGAGCCACCATTGAGAAGGCCCTCTCCCTCATCCCTACCAACCATGCTTGCAACGGATGTGGGAGCGAAAGTCCAGAAAGTTATCTTTTATTCTTTATAATATACTAGCCATCCCCTACCACGTTGCTGTGGCCCAGTCTGTTGATCTGGAAAATAAAGTAATGAGAAAGTGTTGGTTTCTAATACATGTAATTTCTTTATGCTTTGTGAGTAAACAGTATTTCTTGCTATTTCTTTGTCAGTGCTGATGCAGAGATTGTCTGGTTTGCTTACTTTGGAACAGGCAACATATAATTGTCCTTCTTTAGGGGTCCCTTTCAAATCTAGGATACTATATCTGTGTGTGTGTGTGTGTGAATCATATCTATCTATATCTATGGCTGGATGGCTCTTTGTCAGGAGGGCTCTGATTACATTTTCTTGCCCTGGTGAAGAGAGTTGGACTGGATGGCCTTAAGTATTTTCTGTTGGTCATGGGGGTTCTGTGTGGGAAGTTTGCTCCAATTCTGTCATTGGTGGGATTCAGAATGCTTTTGATTGTAGGTGAACTATAAATCCCAGTAACTACAACTCCCAAATATCAAGGCTATTTCCCCCATTTTAGGCATATTGAGTATTTGGACATATTGAGTATTCGTGCCAAGTTTGGTCCAGATCCATCATTGTTTGAGTCCTCAGTGCTCTCTGGATGTCGGTGAACTACAACTCCCATACTCAAGGTCAATGTCCACCAAACCCTTCTAGTGTTTTCTGTTGTCATGAGAGTCCTGTTTGCCAAGATTGGTTCAATTCCATCATTGGTGGAGTTCTCCCAAATGACAAAATCAATTTTTTAAGTGATGGTCACGCCTTGGGTTAGTAGGTGTCTTGTGGCCAAATTTGGCGGCAGTTCGTCCAGTGGTTTTTGAGTTATGTTAATCCCACAAACGAACGTTAGATTTTTATTTATATAGATTCTATGTGATCTTTATGAAATGAATTATATCAGATCTGCATTGTGCATCTAGCAGCCTTACTGGTGTAAGGTTGTTGAACACATACCGTACATACCTGAACATTCATTCTGCAACATGTGAATGGTGGTTTCTCTGCAGTATTCTTTGGGGGGAGAGAACCAGCATGGCCGTGATGAAGGTGGGAGTTGTAGTCCAGAACAGTAACATTTTCAGGCTGTAATTCATAGCAGTATAGATTCCTTTTCTTAGTTCTGTGATATCTTGGTAACTGGTTGCTCAGTTTGTGTGTTGCGTGTGTGAGAGAGTTCTGTCAAAGGATAAACAATGAACTCTAGCAATTAAGCAATTAGCTTTTGTGTTGTGGCAGCCGTGGTCTGGGCACCTTTGCCCTCTTCCTGCAAGCCAGCATTGGGGATCTTGTCTAGGGTTTCCTCTATCTGAAGATCAGGCGCCAGTGCCAGGCTGGTTGCCTCCCCTGGGCTCTGCTTGTCTAAGTGATGTGCAAAGTCTGGGCAGGCTTCCTCCCCTTCTTTGAATGCTGGCATCGGGCCCTGATTTTTCCCCTTTTCTTTTCTGGCTCTTGTACAGGCAGCTCTGCTGCTGTGAATGAAGGGTGTGCCCAATCAGAACGATCATTAGAAATAGTTAGAATTTTGGATGTTGGAGTTGTAGTACAAAATATAATTTATCCCAGCTCCGATCCAAATGTAGCTCCTTCGAAAGTTGTTAGACCCAGGCTCTCTTGGTACAGGTGTAACTCAGCTTAATTTAGATGGATGGAATCTCTGGCAAAAGAATTGTTCTGGAGCTAGCATGCCAGTTGTGTTCTAGTTGTAAACCGTGGAATGACTTCCACGGAGTAATACCTTTGCTAGAATCAATTATTTTGTTTACCATAGATTTTGTGCCTTGCAATAGAAAAGGCTAACCAAGTACTGAAAAGTGAATGTAGAACAATGTGGCTCAGTGTTGGCATAATGGTTTTGTATCCATGCTGATTGAGGCCCATAGATCTTGTGCCAATCCCCTCCCCAATGATAAAGAAATTGCATCTTTTGGCATGTTGGTGTACACTTGGTATCAATGTACAGATACCACTGAGTCTGTAAGCACACTTAGTTGCTGTCAATTAGAAAACTGTATTCTCAAACAATACAATCCTCCTTCCTTGGTGAGTTAGGTTCCTGATTAGTGGCTACTGTGTGGCATTCTTAGATCTTGAAGACCAGGGTACAACTTCAAAGTGATAATAGTGATTGGTACAATAGCTAAGAGTGTGGGACTGAGACCTCAGAAATCTAGGTCCTTAGCAACTGCACTGAGCCTTGAAAATAACTGGCTGATCTTAGACAAATCATTTTCTTTCAATCTCACCTTACTTGTAGGGTTGCTGTGATGGAAAAAGTGGGGAAGAACCATTTTTGAGTTCAGTGAATATATCAATATATGCTAATATAAATATAATAACAGTGCCTTCTGAACAACAGTTCCTTGTGAACTATCTTCTCTGTACAGTGGATTAGTTTATTGTTAAACCTTTAATCTTGATATACTACATGGTCAGTATAATTTTGTGTAATCCAATTGAAGCACTACAATTATTTTCCCCAGTACATACACACCAACTCACAGGGGCTTGGCACATTAGGGGGACTGTTAAAGAGAGCTATGAGGTGTGATTGAAACAGTTGGAAGAAAGGAAATTGGAGCTGAATTTGAAGAATCAGTGACAGGTAAGCAAGGGGACAAAGTACTCCAGATGGAGGTAATGAGACAGACATGTAGATATTGAGTCTGGATGAAGGTAGAAAAGTATGTGTGCATTAGACATCTCTGGGCTAATGCAGCTGCATAGTTACACCAGTAGATATCTCTTTGGACTCTTTCACACTATACAATTATAGTGTTATGTGGTGTGGCTCCATCCTATGGAATTCTGAAATTTCCAATTTATCAAGAGATACCTGTACTTGCAGCCAGAGATCTCTAGGATCACCAAACGACAAACCATAGGATATTGCCATAGCAATTAAAATGGTATCACAGTGCTATAATTGTGTAATACAAATGGATTATTTAATTGCCTATGGAATTCTGGGACTTGTAGTTTGAGGAGGCACTATTGCTTTCTGGCAGACAATTCTAAATACTTCACAGAACTATAGACCTCAAGATTGCATAGGATGCAGCCATGATATTAAAAGTGGTATCAGAGAGGTGTAATTGCAGAGTGTGCCCACTAGACATTTAAGCACCATTGTTTCCTCTGCCCCAAGAGATGTTCAAGGGCAATACCTACCTACAGCCAGCTGAGGTGTTACAAGAGGGTGTCTCCACATTGCCTCCTCTGTTTCTGCACTGAAACTTCCTTCCTGAACATGAGCCAATATCCTCTTAACTCTCCAATCTCCTTAGCAACTGCATTAAGCAAATCGATCGAGTTGGTGTCATTGGGATGGGATGAGAGGGCAGGACTCCTTGTAAACACACATCTCCCCCACCCTACTCACTTGCATTCTTCCCTTGGCGCTGCCACTCTCCCTCTCACTTTCATCTCCGCAAGCCAGCCTGTGCAGCACAGACTTCTCTGCCTCAAGCCGATCAACAGTATACTCCGCTGTCCTGTTCTGTGACCTTTTCATCCCTCTAGTACAAAGACTTCTTGGAGGAAAGTCTGGGCTGCCCCAGGGCTGATTCTGATGGAGGAGGAACTTCAACGGCAGCAAAGCTGAAGGCAGCATCAGCACACTTTCCAAGGGACGTAAAAGACCCCGGGCATGTGGGTGGCCCTGGCTGAACTGGGGTGAGCGAGAAAAAGCTTGGAGAGTAATCAGGGCAGGCTGTGGGCTTGATGCCATGACTCCCTCTCATCATGAACCTGGAAGGTCTGGAGATGATCGCCGTATTGGTGGTTCTGGTCCTCTTCGTCAAGGTGCTGGAGCAGTTTGGGCTCTTTGAGCCAGTCTCCTTGGAAGGTAATACAAGGGGAAAGTTTGTATGTGGCTGGCGGTAGGGAGAAGAATTTGTGAACTTTGTGGTTAGTTGTAGCATCAGCCTTGATAAGAAACTTTAAATGGAGTTTACCACAGGCCAGGTGGCTTTGGTATCATTTCTACGGTAACTTATGGGTGATAAGAGTGAAGCAGATTGATTACATATTCAGCTTGTAAAAGGGAAGAGTGCAGTCAAAAGACATGGTGTTTTGTCTAAATACAGGAACGGCACAATAAAGCTTTTCCTGGAAGAATGAAAAGTAAAATCTGAGCTGTTCTTGTTGCATAAAGTGAGATGGAGCTGCAGAGCTCCTCACCTGATAGGTGAGCCTTGTGGGAAGTGTGGGAGCGGGGAGGGAGGGAGCAAAGATGGCACAATTGGCCAAAAGGGAAAAAAAGAAAACACTATATTTCCAAGACCAGTTCAGTGCTGTTCAGTCTTGCTGGCTTCAGGGATGTTCACTAGGGCTAGGCTAGTAGTGAAGCATTGTGTAAAAAAAGTGGAGCTATAAATGGTGATGACAACAGTGACTGTAGGATGCACTTTGTGGATAAGTTGTGAAGGGTATAGGTTTCAGACTATTAGGAACCAGCAAAAGGGAAGCAGGAGTAGTGACTGACTGGAGAGCATGCTGTCCACATTTCTGTTTGGGAGACGAACCCAGATATTCATACGTTCTATATAGGTTCATTGCTTGGTGTGCTAGACTTTGTGTGGTATGAAGTGCGAGGCAGCTGGTTCTGGATGTCAGAACATGATAGAAAATTAATCAGTAATATTTTGTTATTATTACATATTAACTTCCAGGGAGAGAGAGGGAGGGAGGGGGAAAAGAGAGACTTGTGAGTAAAAGAACTTGGGTACTAGACTCCTTAACTGAGTGTGCAGAGAATCTCAGGCAGCAAAACGTCTTGGACTGGCTCTAATTTTGTGCAAATGCTCTTTTGCCTTCAGATATCTGTCCCAGTTTTCTATAACAACATAAATAGTAAAAGAGAGTGAGTGACCACTTTAAACAAAAAGTTGCCCACTGTCTTATTAGTGTATCCCAGGATGTTTCCTTTTTTGTGGGCAAACTGCAAGTCACTACAAAGACAACTGCAAAGTTAACTTTTGTTTTGGTACTTTTTTGAAGTGTGCTGTTGATGAAAGGGGTTTTCTTTCATTAATATAATGCAGGTTTTGTTGTTGTGACTGCTGCTGCTCCTTCTAAACTAATTCTGTCTCCCTCGTGTTTTCAGTGGAGGCTTTTTTTCCCACCAGATTTTGTAGGCTACTGGAAAAGATGTCCTGAATTGAATGTATCTCATGATACAAGTTGAGGCATGGCAAAAAAAAATAATAATGGCGGAATTAGGAGTCATATGGCATCAAATGGATCCATTGATCAAATTTATCATAGGGATAATGTTTTGTGTAGATAAACCAGATTTTGTAAAGGTGTGAGTTTGGACTATTGAATATGTTGCTTGGGGAGTGCAGTGTAGGCCAAGAAACACTTCTCAAGCTCCAAGGGGAAGTGCTCTTTCTTCCTGTTTGTTTTCTCTACTGAGGTTCATGCCATTATTTGAGCTGCTTTTTCCAAGTGGGACTCAAATCTGAGTCCCACTGAGTCCCACAATCCTTAAAATCACCCTAGAACAGTGGTTCTCAACCTGTGGGTAAACTGGCTGAGATTTCTGGGAGTTGTAAACCAAACACCTGGGGACCCACAGGTTGAGAACCGCTGCCCTAGAAATATCAATGCTATTCCAAGAACCTGAAGCAGGTAAATGAGGGAAACAAGCTAGCTTAGTTTTTGTACAGGGAAGAAATTCTCGGGTTTTGGCCTATCCCATCCTCTGTGACTGCAGGTTGACCACTGGTCTGTTTTTTATAGTGTCATATACCTTGCTTTAGGTTATACAGTATTTTAGACAAAGGCCGTAGAAGAAGACTACCTCTGAGAATTCCTTGCTTAAGAAAACCCTATCAAATTCATGAGTTTACCATAAATCAACAGGCAACTTGAGAACATAAATGTAGGTGTTGACACAGGTACTCGTACTTTGCAGAGATTCAATATCCAGGCAGTGCGAGCTCCCAGAAGATTATTTCCCACTCATTGGTTCCTCTTTTGGGGGATACTGGTTTTCCTTATGGCCTCTTTCATCTTGACCACATGGTCACTCCTTCGTGATAAAGAATAAAGCACTCTGTTTCACAGTTCTTACTTTCAGCTCAGAATAGCAGTCCCCTTTGGGTACATTGGGGGCCATAAAAGCCGATTACATGCTTAGCTGGGCAGACTGAGGTATTCTGCCTTACATGCCTCTTCTGTTCCTGCCTGCTATCCCTACAGAGAGTGAGGCTTAGTTTTGCCCTCTTCATTATCCTGTGTTATCTCCTTGCACAGACCTTCTGGACAGAGATCTGTAGCAGTTTTGCTTTTTTGATGCTCAAGAGAAGGTTTCTGGAGATTTTCATACAGGAGGAGAAGACACAGCAGCTGGCAGGTTGTTTAGGAAACAGTGCTATTAGGAGTACACCAGAGTTTGGAGTATAGCTCCCAGAATTCTTCAGCCAGCAAGGCCAGTGATGAAATTTGCTGCAAGTTGTATTCCAAAAAAAAATCATATATCTAAGCTTTGGAATGATACATCTACATGAATGTAGATGTTTAGTGCAGACATGTGATATACACAACCTAAGTTGGACAGATCCATTCTTCTGATGGATATACCTCTATAATAATAGTAATAGTAGTAGTAGTAATAATAATAATAATAATAATAATAATAATAATAATAACGAAGACAACAACTTTATTCTCGTACCCCATCTCCATCTCCCCGAAGAGACTCAGGGCAGCTTACATATGGCACAAAGTGCCTGAGACAAAACATCAAATACAGTACAACAATACAATAAAGTAAAAACTATAGCTTATAAAGACAACAATCTAAAACTCAGAATCCAGAATGCAGATTTCAATAAAGTGATAATATCTAGAAATGCTAACTTTGAGAAACACTCAGGTTGGGAGCATATTCACCAAAATAATGAAGTGTTTATTGATCATTACAGGACAGCCCCAAAGGGAATAGAGAAAGGTACTGAAGTATGGTTGCCAGTAGATAACATGCAAGAAGAAAATAACCATGATGACAACTACCGTAAGACATGGCCAAACTGTGAACAAGACAAGGGAATGGGATAGTGCAAATTGTAGCTAAGGAACAGGGCATGGGATAAAAGTGCAGTGCTGTGTCATTGAGTGCAAACCATTGGGGCTAGACGTTCTCAAAGGCTTGTTTAAACATACAAGTCTTCATATCCCTATGGAAGGAGGACAGTGTGGGGCCTGCCTAATCTATTAGGGGAGGCCGTTCCAAAGCCGGGGTCCACCACCGAGAAAGCTCTCTCCCTCGTTTCCACCAACCACACTTGTGATGGTGGTAGGACCAAGAGGAGGGCCTAACAGGCAGATCTTAACCCTTGAGCAGATACATAAGGGGGAATGTGATCACAAAGATAGACAGGACCCAAACCGTTTAGGGCTTTATAGGTAATAACCTACACTTTGAATTGAAACTAGAAACTTATTGGCAGCCAATGGAGCTGTTTTAATAGGGGCATTGTGTGCTTCCTATAGCCAGCTCCTTTTAGTTGTCTAGCTGCTGAACTTTGCAACAATTTATTGTCGAAGGTTTTCATGGCCGGAATCACTGGGTTATTGTAGGTTTTTCCGGGCTATATGGCCATGTTCTAGAGGCATTTCTCCTGACGTTTTGCCTGCATCTATGGCAAGCATCCTCAGAGGTAGTGAGGGCTGTTGGAACTAGGAAAAAGGGTTTATATATCTGTGGAATGACCAGGGTGGGACAAAGGACTCTTGTCTGCTGGAGCTAGGTGTGAATGTTTCAACTGACCACCTTGATTAGCATTTAATGGCTTGGAAGTGCCTGGGGGAATCTTTTGTTGAGATTTAATGTGCCTGATTATTTATTCTCTGTAGTTTTGCTGTTGTAATTTTTGAGTTTTGTAATACTGGTAGCCAGATTTTGTTCATTTTCATGGTTTCTTCCTTTCTGTTGAAATTGTCCACATGCTTGTGGATTTCAATGGCTTCTCTGTGTAGCCTGACATGGTGGTTGTGAGAGTGGTCCAGCATTTCTGTGTTGTGACTACTTTGAAAGCTATTTTTGTCTTCTTTTCTAGATATCCAAATCCAACCCTCCATTTCTGAACCAAATCTTCATTACTTCCTCCCCGTATGCCATTAGATAGCTTGGTCATTTGGATACATTCTACCGTAATAATTTTCCTCTCCAGTCCTTTAGCAACAGCTCAAAGCTGGCGTGGGAATCACAGGGCCTTCCTGCTGTTCCTGAACTGTAAATTCTAGCAGTCGTCACTGGAAGTTGTAATCCAATACCATCTGCAGGGCAATTTGATTCCAGCTGAAGTTGTATTTATTTTGGGTTGCTGTGAGTTTTCCGGGCTGTATGGCCATGTTCCAGAAGCATTCTCCACTGATGTTTTCCCCACATCTATGGTAGGCATCCCCAGAGATGGTGAGGTCTCTTGGAAACTAGGCAAGTGAGGTTTATATATCTGCAGAATGTCCAGGATGAGATAAAGAACTCTTGTTTATCTGAGGTAGATGTGAATGTTTCAATTGGCCACCTTGATTAGCTTTGAATGGCCTTGCAGCTTCAAAACCTGGTTGCTTCCTGCTTGCAGGGAATGATACATGTCAGCTTCCTTCCCCCATGCAGGAGGCAGTCAGTGAAGCTATCACAAAAAATAGAAACAAAACAGAAACCAACGAATAATTCAAAACGAACAATTTAAAATAAACCAGTATAACAACCTTAAGTGTCATTACCCTTAAAATAGCATTTAAAACTCACAATTTTAAGTTTAAAATTCACTGTTGTAAGGAGGCGAGACTTCTTTACCTCTAACATATGGTGCTGCCAGTTTTCCTAAAGGGAAT